AGGGGCAATTCCGACCTTGAAGCGGAAATCCCCCAGGGAATCCCCCCGGACCCCCGCGAGCCCCCCAAACAAAAACTGGATCTGGCGAACTTTATCCAATGGGTCGGGCCCTGCGACAGACGCCCCCTAGTTGACTCCAAAGGAATCCAACTGGATTGCCACGGCAATCCTCTGGAGACTGGCGGGCGGCCAAAATCAGCGATTACTGGGAATGAATCTGGCCGGAATCAGCGGAGGGTGGGGCCGCGGGAAAATCGCCGCATACCTTCGGAAAAAGCCGCGGGAGAGCATGCCCTCGAGGGAACTGCAAGAACACTTCGCATGTGCCCTTCGGCCACCCGGCACGGCCCGCGGACGCGCGGCCGCCCCGCCCCCTCGCGCCCGCCCCTCCGCGGACCGCGCGGCCGCGCGAGCACGCGTGGGCGCTGCCGCAGAGCAGCCAAGCGTTCCGGCCTCTTCCACCACATTCCGCCAAAACGCGGTTCGCCCCCCTCCCCCGCGCCCGCGCGCACGCAGGCGCCCACGGCGGTTTCGCCCGGCGCGTCGGGCCGGCCCCTGGCGCAAGACGCCCTGCCCCATCGAAGGTGGCCCCGCGCCCCGAGCGAGCGGCGGGCCCGACCCGCCAAACAACGGCGCCGCCCACGCGCCGCGGCCCGCGGCCGCCGCGCGCGCGGAGCCGTCGCGGGCCGGGGCCGCCCTGGGCGGCAGCCCCGTCGCCCCCGCGGGCGCGGCCCACATCGGCTCCGAAAATGAACGCGGGGGCGCGGCGCGCAGCGGCCCCGCCCCCCGCCACGCACCACCGCGCGAATTCATAGCACGCGGAATACAGTCAGAGTCGGGATAAGGACAGACAGCGCGCTCCAAGGCACCAAGGCACCCTTCCCTCTTCGACCCGATATTTGCCACTTCTGCTGGCCAGCCCCTCACTATGTCCGCGGGGCAGGCTGCGCCCCGCGGCTGCGCGGTGCGACGCCCCTTCGGGCTGAGCCCTAAGGATGCGCGATGGGCAGGGTGCCCCGCGCCACCCTCGAGCACTTCGTCGCTGCATCGCCGTCGAGGGGTGCCGCGTTCTAGGGAATGCGCGATTGGCAGGGCGCTGCGCGTGTTCCGCGCCCTCCAGCTCGCAGGTGGGCGCGGCCCCACTGATGCGCGATTGGCAGGGTGCCTTTGGCCATGGGCCGCCCTCGCCCCCCCCCCTTTCGACGGGGGATCGCGGCCCCGGGGACGCGCGGTGAGCTGGGCGCCTGCGGCCCCCCCCGCCCACCACCACCACCACCACCGCGCCACCACCACCACCACCGCGCACGCGCGCACTCCCACGCACACACGCACACACACACACACAAACACAAACACACACACACACACACACACACCACCACCACCACCACCACCACCACCACCACCACCACCACCACCACCACCACCACCACCACCGCACCACATCACACACGCACCACACACACACACACACCGCGAATGAATGAACGTCGCTAGCAGTAATAGTGCCGCCCCGCCGCGCCCCAGGCGGGAGTCGAGGCATATGACACTACCGCTGCAGATCCGCCCCCCGATGCCGCAAAAAAACACTGGCCCAGACCACGGTGCGGGGAGCACCGGGGGGCGGTGATGGCAAGCTTTTTTACGAAGACTACCGCGAACCGTGGCACTAATATGTGTAGAGCCTAGAATAAACGAACTACCAGCGCCAAAATGTGCTTAGAAGTGGCGTTGCGAAATCTACTGTGTGGGCCCAGACAATCAGAATCATCAGCAGAAACCATTGCGCGGGCCCCGACAGTCATAATCGTAATGCATTAAAAACAATGTTCAAATATATGACCCTGGCCTGATATACCCTATGCTTACCTGTTCTCGCCAATTCCAAGACCCAAGACGTCTTACACAATTCAGATACATCCTAATCCGTATCATCGGGTTTGACACGGATTCTTTCTGCGGGGTCCTTTTTTGTGGAGGACAACAATAGGACTCCAGTTGTGGAGGCGTGCATTAATATTCTTTTTGCGGCAGGTTACAATAGGATTGGCGGGTTTCAATAGGACGCCTTTTGTGTCTGGTTTCGTTGGGATCCCTTGCGCGGAGGACTACAATAGGATTCCGCTGATGGACGATGGCTATAGGGTTCTTTCTGTGGAAGACTACAGTATGATTCCTTGCGTGGCGGATTTCAACAGGATCCCTTCGTGGAAGATTACAAAGGAATTCTTTTATGTTGGATGAAAATAAGATTCCGTTTGTGGGGGAATACGCTAAGATTCCTTTTGTGAAGGGTTACAATAGGAGTCCTGTTGTGGGGGATTACAATAGATTTCCTTTTGTGACGGATTTCAAAACGATTCCGTTTGTGGAGGCTGACATTAGGATTCCTGTGTAGAGGATTTCAATAGGATTCCCTGTGGATTTTACAACAGGATTCCTCTTGTGGATGATTACACTGGGGCTCCTTTTATCGAGGATTACAATCGGATTCCGTTTGTGGAGGGTTACAACAGGATTCCTTCTGCAAAGGTTTTAATTGGATTCCTTGTGTGGAAAATTACAATGGGATTCCGTTTGTGGACAGTCTCGCGCGGGCGGAATGTCCCAGAGATTTCGCCGGAGATTTCTACCTGAAGGGGGCTTTCCGGAGATTTCGTCGGAGATTTGGCCGGGATTCCGAACCTCGGGAGGGTTGTCTGAAGATTTCGTCGGAAATTTCGCTGGAGATTTCCGCTGCCGGAGATCCGAGGGGTCCCCACCACTGCTGACGGAGATTCTGGGGGAGAATTCTGGGAGAATTCTGGGAGATTCCTGGGGGAGCGAGAGGTCTCCATACACCCGATCTAACCCTACGGGGCCACGAAACGCTGTACTGAGTGGGGGGGGCCACATGTGGACGGTGGCACTGGGGCCGGTGGAGCTCCCTATGGGGCTACGAAACGCTGTACTGGGTGGGTGAAACGCAGGGAAGAGGGGGAGGAGGGAGGAGGAGGGAGGAGGGGGAGGAGGAGAGGAGAGGAGGAGGAGGAGGAGGAGGAGGAGGAGGAGGAGGGAGGAGAGGAGGGAAACGCGGGGACCGTCTCTTCAAAACGAGGACCCAACAACACAGGCTGATTGGGAAAAATGACCAAAAACAGTCAAAAGCAGTCAAAAAAATAATCCATTCGTCCCCTGCCTATTCTTTTTACTGTTTTGAACACTCCTTCTGTAGAGGGACGTGCCCGACTTAACCCAGACGTTGCCCACCAGACCCCCCTGGGGAGGGGGGGGGGGGGCCTTCCACGGCCGAGCGAAATCCCCCGAGGGCTGCGCGGGGCGAGGGCCTCGGAGCCTGGCTTCTGCCTCGAGGGCAGGGGGAGGCCGGGCGGCGCGTCGAGCTTGCCAGCGGCGGGGTCGCCCTGAGGCGCGCTCTTCCTCCTCCTCCGCCGTTCCTCCTCCTCTGCCTTTCCTCCTCCCCCGCCTCCTCCTCCTCCTCCTCCTCCGCCTCCGCCTCCTCCTCCTCCGCCTCCTCCTCCTCATCCTCCCCCTCCTCCTCCTCCTCCTCCGCTCCTCATCCTCCCTCCTCCCGCCTCCTCCTCCGCTCCTCCTCCTCCTCCTCCTACCCTCCTCTCCTCCTCCTCTCCCCTCCTCCTTTCCTCCTCCTCCTGCTCCTCCTCCTCTCCTCCTCCTCCTCCTCCTCCTCCTCCTCCCCCTCCTCCTCCTCCTCCTCCTCCTCTTCCTCCGCCTCCTCCTCCTCGTCCTCCTCCGCCTCCTCCTCCTCCCCGTAGCCATTTTGGCTCAAGTAAACCATTTCTCGAGGTGGTTTGCAGAGACCAGGAGCCTGCCCAGCAGGCTCGGCCCGCGCATCAGGGGCCTGCTGGGCAAGGCAGGCGCCCACACATTTTCGTTCACGCTCCGAGGAGCTCCTGTACTGTACTGGTTGGGCAGGAGATCAGTTCTTCACGGTCGCGCATGGGGCGCAGGGAGAAGGATGATCAGCAGACTGGAAGCCAGTATGCGAAGTGCAGGGGATGTGGATATAAGTGGAACTGGACCAACAGGTCGGAGTGCTACAAGTGCAAGAGAGGTCTGCAGCCAGCCACCTCACAAGAGCGAGCCCCGCAGGGCGTCTGGGGCCCCAGCGGCGCCTCTTCGCGGCGCCGCAGTCGCCCGTCAGTCAAGCCGAGCCGTGAGGAGCTTCTCAAACAGCTGCGGGCCACCCTCCCAGACGGCGACGCAGAGGCTGCCCAGCACCTCGAGGCGCTCGCCCGTGCGCAGCCTCCAGAGGTGCACCCAGACGTCGCCCTCAACCAGGCCCAGGCGCGGCTCCGCAGGGCTGAAGCAGCGCTCAAGAAGACCATCGAGAGCATCTCCGAGGGCGAGCAGTGGCTGCAGGACCAGAAGGAGCAGCGGGAGACCTGGGTCCTCGAGGTCGCCGACGCTGAGGCGGCGGTCCAGGCGGCCTACGCACGAGCAGCGCCCAAGGTTGCAGCGCCTGTGGAGGAGCCCACGCCAGCCCTGGATCTCTCGCAGCTGCTCGAGGGCGACCTGGATATCCTCAGCGTGCGGCCAGGCAAGGCGTTCGACCTGGAAGGACTCGACATCCCGCCCGAAGAGCACCGCCAGTTCGAGGAGCGGATGGGCCAGTTCGTCAAGCAGGCCCAGTCGGAGGTCAAGAGGCACTTCGGCCCAGCGGCAGAGGGGCTCGCCGCGATGCGAGCGGACCTCAAGGCCTTCAGCGACAGGCTCAAGAGCACGAGGGCTCGGTCGGAGCCTCCCCCACCAGAGGCCGCTGCAGCTCCCGCCTCAGCAGCACCACCAGGCAAGGCGGCAGGCAAAGGCGGCGCAGCCCCTCCCCCTGCAGGCGCTGACGGTGCTCGCGACGCTGCTGCGGCCAGCGGAGGCGGCGCTGCAGGCGCCACTGCTCCTGCGGGGGCCGCAGGCAGGACTAAGCGCGAGCTGGCACAGGACGTCCGAGCCAGGATCCTGGAGCGGGCAGCAGCCAAGCCCCCAGCGGCCGACGGAGACTCCAGCACAGCTTGAAGGACCAGCCCCGCGAGGCTGGCGAAGGTGGCGTCAGCGCCCACGCCGTGGCCGAGGCAAGACTGCCGCGCGGAGGCGAGGAGCGCCAGCCGTCCCACCCGACATCGACGGGGTCGCGGCGACCCCCACTACCTCTACGAGCACGACCACTACATGGGGGGGCGCCTCCTCCGCCCGCCTTGGAGGAGCTGCCCCGATGGGCGAGCAGGCGGAGGCAGCCTGGGCCTAAGCGGGTCGCCTTCATCGTGGGGACGAGCGCCCACGTCCCAGCCATGGAGGAGGGCCTCGACATCCTGGGCGGGGACGGCGACAGCTCCTCCTCAATCACCTGGGCGCGGCGGGCGCTCAGGGGCGCGGACACGCTCCGCCGCCAGCTGCTCGCGCCGTGGCTCCGACGGCTGGACTGCAGCTCAGCCTCGAGCACAGCCACGGACGCCACGGAAGAGGCCCCAGAGACGCATGCGTGGAGAGCCGCGGATGCGCGGGTGGTCGATGCCTCTCCCCGTGCGTCCCTCTCGATGATGCCGCCGACAGGCGGGTGGTCGAAGCCATCAGCGATGTGCTCGTGGGACGGAGAGCCGCAGACGTGCGGGTGGTCGACGCCTCTCCACACGAGCGCCCCCAACTCGGCTCCCCTGACGAGGGGGTGGCCGATGCAGCCAAGTTGGGGAGAGGGTTACTGGAGGCCTCGGTCGCGGGGCAGAGGGCGGCGCGCCAAGCCTGGCATGGGGGTCTGCTCAGCCCCGACTACGGCCACGGACGCCTCGGAGGAGGACCCAGTGACGCATGAGTGGAGAGCCGCGGATGCGCGGGTGGCCGTGGCCTCTCCCCATGCGTCCCTCTCGCTGACGCCGCCGACAGGCGGGTGGTCGACGCCGTCAGTGATGAGCTCGTGGGACGGAGAGCCGCAGACGTGCGGGTGGTCGAAGCCTCTCGACACGAGCGCCCCCAGCTCGGCCCCCCCGACGGGGGGGTGGCCGATGCAGCCCAGCTGGGGAGAGGAATACTGGAGCTCCCGACCGCGAGGCAAGGGGCGCCACGCCAAGCCCGACATGGATGTCAGCTCAGGCTTGAGCACGGCCACAAACGCCTCGGAAGAGGCCCCAGCGGCGCAAGAGTGGGGAGCCGCGGATGCGCGGGTGGCCGATGCCTCCCCCCATGCGCCCCCCTCGCTGGTGCCGCCGACAGGCGGGTGGTCGATGCCATCAGCGATGTGCTCGTGGGACCGAGAGCCGCAGACGTGCGGGTGGTCGACGCCTCTCGACACGAGCGCCCCCAGCTCGGCTCCCTCGACGGGGGGGTGGCCGATGCAGCCCAGCTGGGGAGAGGAACACTGGAGGCCCAGATCTCGAGGCAAGGGGCGCCACGCAAAGCCTGGCATGGTGCTCAGAGGCCTCAACGGCAGCGCCTGGGGCACCCTCGTCGACCATCTGGACGAGATGCCGCTGGGCAGGAATACCATCATGCTGGTTCAGGAGCACCGCCTCACCAGCGATTACGTCGGACAGATCAGTGCCAGCCTTTTCCAGAGGCATCTCACCGCCGCCCTAGCTCCCGCAGCGGTAGGGCCAGGCGGCGGCAGAGTGGCAGGGGTGGGAATCGTCGCCCCGCGCTGCGTGGGCCTCACCTACCTCGAGGGCGTGGACACATTCGACTTCTCGCCGCCGGGATCACCAGGAAGGCTGGTGGCGGCCTGGACCCCTGGGTTTCTTCGGGGCGACCTCATGGTCCTCAGTGCCTACTTCTGGGTTTCCGAGGGCTGGACGGTTCGCAACCTGTCCATCTTGGACGCCATTGGGGAATTAGTGAGGGCCTACGACATCCCGTGGGTCCTCCAGGCCGACTTCAACAACACCCCCGATACGCTCATGGCCACGGGCTGGGTGGCCGACGTCGGGGGCACCATCTTCTCCTCGGCCGCCCCCACCTGCCAAGGCAAGGGAGGCGGGAGGGTCATCGACTACTTCGTGGTGGACACGCGCATCGCGTCAGCCTTCGGTGCTGCGGAGGTGCTCGACGCGTCCACCGCCCCGCACAGCCCTGTCGCCATCACGACGGAGAGGCCACTGCGGGAGCGGCTAGGCTGGAGGCTGGTCAAGCCTCGTGCTTTCCCGACTCGCCTCCCCGTGGGCTGTCGTCGGGAGCCTCCAGCCTGGCCGATCCTCGACAGCGGAGCAAGCTACAGCGACGCCGAGCTGGAGGAGTTGCGGGCTGAGTTCTCGGCGGCGGCCGAGCACGACCTGCAGGGCACCCACGACCTCGCTGACGAGGCCGACTACACTGGCAGGGGGGGGGCACCCTCGATGGGCCAGAGCCCCGATCGCAGGCCCAGAGGCGCATGCGAGGCCCAGGGGCACCACGCGCTCCAGGGCATGGCGCTGGGTGGCCAGCCGCGTCGGGGACATCGCTTGGCTGGCGCAGGCGGCCCGCCAGCGGCGCGACTGGCAGCCGTTTGCCGACCAGTGGCGGCGCCTGCGCAGACGCCTCCACCATGGGGCTGCCCGCTGGTGCGACGCGCTGGGCGACGACGCCAAGGCCGTGCACGCCGAGCTCCTCTCGCTGGGCGACCTCACCTGGGACGGCGACGCGCTCTGGGAGGACGCCCCCAGGGCGATGGAGCTGCAGCGTCGGGCCACGCAGCAGGCCCACGCCATCGAGCAGGGCCTCCGAGACCAGAGGGCCAAGGCGTGGCGGCAGAGGCTCAAGGACGGCTCACAAGGAGGAGCAGGTTTCGTCCACCGCATGTCGAAGTGGCGCCAGGGGATCGACCCCACGCTCGGGGCCCGAGGGCACACCAACCTGGACATGACCTGTCCACAGGCCGCGGTGGACCTGGAGGCGCTGAAGTGGATCGACCTCTGGACCTCCCACGGCGCCCAGAGCCGAGGCGAGCTCCCTCGGCCCTGGGAGGCGACCACTTTCGAGCACAGCATGGTCGAGCCGACAGCGGACGACATCAGGTCCATATGCAGGGCCTTCCCAGAGCATACGGGGGTCGGAGTGGACAACTGGCACCTCAGGTGGTTCGCGAGCCTGGGGGACGAGGGGCTCGTGTTCCTGGCCGCATTCGTCGCATACGCGTCGCGCACGGCCAGGTGGCCCCCCCAGCTGCGCTACGTGATGTATTTTCTACTGGCCAAGCAGGGCGGGGGGACTAGGCCCATCGGCCTCCTCACCACTGCCGCGCGGCTGGTGGAGCGCGCGCACTCGCACCAGCTCCACGACTGGGAGCGGGAGATTCGACGGGACTACGACTTCGCGGCGCCAGGCGGGGGATCAGAGGAAGCGATATGGCAGCAGATGTTGTTCGACGAAGGAGCCCAACCTGGGGAGGTGACGGGCACGGCGGTCCTAGACCTCGAGAAGGCGTTCGAGC